TGGCCCATTCACTGCAGATTTATCTTTTCCTATATTTTTTCTTCTAAATACTGCAATAATCTTCCTCAATACCCCACCCCAATACCAAAAAGCATCAATAACTAGTCCTTAAAACCCCCAGCACCTACTTCCATGATGGGCACAAGCCCAGCCTTACTGAGAAGGTCTTAACTCACTGTGGTATTGCAATGAAGAAAACACTTCCCAAAATATTTAATAAAGTAAATTTACCACTTTAAAGCCTAAAACTGTAGGGTCCGATGGCAGGTTTTTCAGTTGACGTAAATCTGAACATTTTTGGTTTTAATTACTTTATTGAATCAGGGTTGAAACATGTGCTTCAGTGTTTTGCTGAATCAGACTAAAGCCAGAGCTGTGACACTGGAAGACCTCTGGAGAAGGCAGGATTGAAACATAAAAAGATCCCACATAAAAAAATAGTTCCAAACTGCCCTGGACATCCACAGTGACACCTGAGTTGAGCATATTTGCAGCACAATCCAAGTGTGGTTTTCCCCCATCACTTGTGTTTCTGAGGGGTCAGAGCTGAGCACAGATTTTAAAGATGGAGAGGGATGGGAAAAATTCCACCCTATGAGGAAAAGGACAAAGGGAGCAGGAAGTGGAGTCAGAACCCTCTGAGTGAGGGCAGGCAGCTTGGCTTGATACCAGTTTGATTTGTGTGAAAACCTCTCCTTACAGAGGAGGGAACCATCCTGGCCCTCGGGAAGGGATGGGTTTGGGAAGGGGTGGGTTTGGGAAGGGATAGGTTTGGGAAGGGATAGGATTGGGAAGGATGAGTTTGGGAAGGGATGGGTTTGGGAAGGGATGGCTTTGCTGAGCCAGTGGAAGCTGAACAACTCACTCGCACACGAAGGTTCCCAGCGGAATGTCCTGCATCGTTCGCACTCCCCAGCCCATCTTTTGTGTCCGGTAAAGCTGCAATCGAGTCCTGGAAGAGAGGAAACGAAGCCACACAGAGACAGACTGAATTTTCATCCAGATGAGCAAAAAACCAGCACCCTTCACCACCACACACTCACAGAGGGTTTTAATATTCACCCTCCGCTGGCATCGTGCGGATGCTCCACTCCCATCGCTGCTCTGAGCTGTGGGAAGATGCTGGGATGGGACCAGCCAGTCCCTTGTCCCTTCCCAGGTGCACAGTGGGGAAGAGGGGACAGGGCTGGATGCTCTGTGTGGTTACACCTTGATGATTTACACGTAGGAAATCAGAATCCCACCAACAGCATTTCTTTCCACCTCCCACAGGGAAGGGGGAAGGGGACTTCAGGCAGCGGAGCTGTGCAGGGAGAGGTGCCAAGGGGGAAGGCAGGGAGCTTACAGGGACTTCAGAACACCTTGTGCTCTGACCCCTCTGCCCTCTGCTGAGGCCAGTGCATTTAGCCATTCCATCATATCCAGCTGCCCTGGCTGAAAGACAAGGAAGAAACGCTGCAACTTGAAACTTCTTGGTGTAATAGCTGCTCTGTGGAATTTTACTGATGGAGTTTATAGGCAGAGAAACAATCCTGTAAGTCATTCTGCCTCGTGCTCAGCCAGAACTTGATTTAAGTGCAGGATGAACGGTCTCCAGGGCTGGGGAAGGTTTGCTCTGTCCCTGAGGGAACAGAACCCGCTCTCAGCAACGCTGTTATCGGAATAAAGTGAAATCTGATGCTCACCTTAAGTTCACCCTGTTGCTTTTTCCAGCACTTCTCTTTCCCCCACCCATTCCCTCCTGCACTGTCAGCTCAACCCATGGGCTGAATTTTCTCCTATTTGCCCAGAGCTCCTGGAGCCTTCACCAGGGCAAACCATCACAGAATATCACAGATATGGCAAGTTGGAAGGGACTCACAAGGATCATCGAGTCCAACCCTCAGTCCTGCACAGGTTCCTCCCCAGCAGTCACACCCTGTGCCCCAGAGGATCATCCAAACCCTCCTGGAGCTCTGGCAGCCTTGGGGCTGTGCCCACTGCCCTGGGGAGCCTGGTCAGTGCTCAACCAACCTCTGGGGGAAGAACCTTTGGCTGAGAACCAACCTGACCCTGCCCTGACACAGCTCCAGGCCATTCCCTGGGTGC